TCAAGTTGTAACTGCGTCGTAATTTTTTGCTCTCAATCGCCTGTTATTAATTTATATATTTATTAAAAAATTGTAACGTGTAGTCACGTGGTAGAGATTCTGCTTTGTTTCGGATAATCTTTGATAATTAGTTCGCAAAGAATTCAAGCGTTTAAACACCGCGTCGCGAAATTGCTTTGCAACACGCTGCGTGTTGCAAAAATAACATCGCGATCCAATGCCGAGGTTTATTGTGTTCTTTTTCATCGTTTAACGTCTTGATATAATTATTTACGACGAGTCATTGTACTTCCTCCATTCAGTTTGTATAATCGATGACCAAAGCAATTTTGCTTCTCATCACTGTTAGTAAATGTGTTTTGCTGTTACAGCGAAATGTAATATGCGAACATTTAATGCTATCATTTCTACGTTGATGTTTATACTTGCGCAAGTATAGTCGTGATAGCTTGCGACATGTAATAAATCAATATTGTTTGTAAATTATTTATAATATTGAAACATTTACTATAATAACAGACCATAACGAGATTTCTGCACGAGCATTTTTTGACGTTTTGATATCGCGGAATCATGTACAATTGTCTTGAGTTGTAAATTTCACAAATATATGCAAGATCATTAATAAACAGCTAAACTATTATAATTGCCGCCTAGCTACTCATTCTGCTTACATCATTCATTTTTACATCGAGAAACACATCATGAAAGTTTTAATCTTTTTTACACTATTAAATTCATAATGTCAAGTTATATCCAATAATTTGAGTTATTTTTAATTATTTCTATAAGTTACTATTGCTCCTAATCTACATATCATTAATTTAATGGACTAAAATAATAGGATTAAACTATTTAATTAAAAAAAATATATTAAATTTAATTTAAATTTCATTTATTATTTCCTAATTGCATATGTTAATGTGGATGTTGTTTACTTTAAAACACAGAAATGAATTGATTTACATTTTGACACGCATAAGTTCAAAATTAACAAACTGTTATTTAACTCAGACTACCATTGGCTCCTTTGATATTTAACAGTATACTCAAGTAAAAAAATATCTAGATGAAACTCACTCCAGAAACTTTTTACCATTTTGAATTTACTATAACTACAGCAAGTGGTCAAAAAATATTGGTTAGGAAGAACCGGCTAACAGCTAGCTAGAAACTAACCAGGTCAAAACTAGTCAGTAAATGATAACTATAATACGCTAATTATTTGCGTGTGTCACGCGGCTGTTTTTATCTTTATCGGTAGTGTCCTCGAAAAAAGTATACATATTCTTCAGTCTTAAAGAAAAACATCCTATCTTTATACAGCAACTTACGTTTTTCATTATTGTATTGTTTTGAAATTTTGCGATCGAAATTCCGACTAGAAGAAATTACATCAGCCTTGTTATTTTTGTATCTTCCTGTACTCTTACCACATAAACCGCGGACGTACAGGACAAGCAAAGGTGTGCTAAAAACAGTTTATTTTCGTACTATTTTTGCACGGTATGTAAGTTACATGCCACCATCGCCATGGTCACGGCGTTAATCTATTTTTGCGGACGCTTTATAAGCAACAGCCGTGTTAGCATAGCCATCGTATCGTATGCTTTGAGAGTACCAATTGCCCTCCCTTCTAGCGACAGGTATTGACACAACGAGAAAATGTATTTGAAAAATATTTGTTCTCACTTGAATAGCAAACGATCACGTAATTGTTTCGTTGACGGATCAGTCGATTTACACTGTTTGCATATCAGAAATGAGAGACAAGTATTTTCTCGGAGACAAAACGAAGAAATTGAAAAAAAATATGTAATAGATCTTGTGACCTACTTACGTATACAGAGACAGAAGCAGGAAGGAACAGACGGAAGAAAGCGACGCGCGACGCACGTCGGTCGTTCACGGTAAATATTGCCTCTATATGTGTGTTATTAACCCGGGATTAATTGTGCTCCCCTTGCGCAATTGAGCGACGGCTAAAATTAAGGACTAATTTAATGTAAGACGCCAAAGGCTGATCGAGCATGCGGGTATATACGTCGACCGACGTGCGTCAACGTGAGATTATTATTATTAGCGATCGATTGAGGGACGGATCGAGATGAAGAGAATATATTATATGCCATCGTTCTATTTCCTTTAAATCCTATAAACTATTCTCTCAGTTTGGAGGAGTTAACATGACAAAGATTAAATTCATCTCTCAGGAAATCCTGTTGTGATGTAGTAGCAGAGAGAGACCTGTGAGTGTGAAAGAAAATTTACGATCATACACTGAGAAGAAATATACTAAATTTTAATAAATATTTATTTGAATAGAGTGCCAATTAAACATTTACTTACAGTAAATCAATATTTAATCAATAAAAAATTATTGTTAAATGAAATTAATGGTTCTTGTACCAAATGAATACATCATTATATTTAGTAAATATTTAGTTAATACTCAAATAAGTGATCTACTAAAATTTAGAATATATATTTATATATTTATTTTCAATATATCGAAAGTAATGAGCAACAATTTGTCAGAAATTAGGATTTTTTAAATTAAAATACTAACGTCATTTTAATCTACAATCTACTTTTTTACTTAATCCTTTTTCTTGTACATATTTTTCTCACTATTCTGAAAGTTTAAATTTTCCTTTGCTTCGTTGCATTGTTCCATTGGTGGAACTCCATTTTATTGTCTGAAGACAGTGGCGCACTATTTTATAGATTGCCTCCATCATTTCGTAATATTGGCCAACCTTCTCTTGAAGGAAGATCATCCTGCAGCACTAATACTCGGCCCCAACTTCGTTCATTGACCTCACACAAAACTGAGAAAATGGGGTAGGAAATTCTTCCTTACCCCTCCTACAGTCCTGCTTCGGCATCCTCCGATTATCTTCCTCTTGGTAAAGGCTAACGACGTGTCCACAAAGCAGTGCATCACTGTCTTCGAGCGGTTAGGACGAAAGGGAATTTTCTACAACGGAATATTCAAATTCCCAGAATGGGAAAAACATATATATAAAGAAATTGGAATTAGAATATTAAATTAATTACATCAAAATGTGGATTAAAATGGTTTACTTGGCTTTCCAATAACATAAAATTTCAATTTATAAAAAAAATGTTGTTTATTAGTTTCAATTTGACCCTTGTAATTGATTACAATTTAACGGAAGTTGCCGCGACCATTCCTTTATCTCAGACCTCGTTATCGTATTCCGTAAACTCTCGTCCTGCTCGTTTCTAATTGAAACATTGTATATTGCAAACTAATCAAAACTGCAAAACTTTCTGTTGTGCGTGAAGCAATGTCTTGCTATCGAAATTATTCATTTGCTCGTCACGACGTCGAACATGCCAGGACATTTGAATCGACGTGATCTATAAAAAGCTTCGATCGTACACTGAGAAAAATGGTCTGGTTGGATTAAATAGTAATTCTGGTGGAAAATGGACGAATCAGAATTTTCTGGTTAAATCTATTAGAATTCTAGTTGAGATAATTAGAATTCTGATTGATATAATTATTCTGGTAAAAATGAGAATTCTAGTAGATTTTACCAGAAATATTGTATCAACCAGAATTCCTGTTATCTCAACTAGAATTCTAATAAATTTAATCAGAAAATTCTGATTCGTCCATTTTCAACCAGAAATTTTTTTCAGTGTAAAGTCATGATCCGATTCGCTCGTCCAGGTCTACAACGATCCACGTTAATTTCATTGTTTCGTCGCGGGAGAATTTTTCGAACTTTATTTGATTTCCACTTGTAAAATTGAACATAGCAGTGATGCGCAATCTGCGACCTGCCTGTGAATTTTTTACGGCCCACCAGCCTCATAATCGAAAATATAAAATCATATTTTCTATTTTTTGCAAAACAAAATGAACATTATGCGACCTACAAGATTTTATTTATTTCTGGAAATGACTCTTAAAAAATGGCCCTTTGAAAATGACTCGAAGAAAGGTTGCGCATCACTGGAATAAAGAATTCCGAACGCAGGACTACGTCACTAAGTCTCGGCTTTGAAAACTCCACCCAACTTCCCTCGAACGTAAACTTTACCTTACTCACACGACTTAACACTCCGAGAAGCTCTTTCTTCTGATGGACAGGCGAGGAGAAGCAGCGCGACAAAAAAAGAAAATCGATACGTCTATTAGAGGAGCGTTTGGTTTTTCGATGCACGAGGCGAGGCCACGTTTTACGATACCGCGGTCGAGAAAGATACTCCAGATCTCGATTTCACGATCTGCTAAGTGTCAGACTCGTAACCGTCGTACAGGATGCGGCTTTAAAATAGGATCGATACACAACGTTCGGTTTTGCGGAGCTATGTTTCGAACTGCTTGCCAACGACCAAGACCATTCTCGCACGGTGATTTATGTTCTCGTGCCTGAACGTAACGACTGTTATGTTCTAACATAAGCGAACTGTCAACAAACTAGGTTTGTGCCACGTATAATGTCGCTTGAGACCGAGTCTCTAATATTCTACGAACTAACATTCATCTCAATAATATTTCTTATTATCGGAATAACGTATAAAACAGTGTTTCTATTCAGAATAATAAACGAATCTCTGACTTTAATATTATCGCAAATATCTTTCAATATTTTTTTAACGGATAAAATAATATGAATTTAAATTATTCGTTAATAACTGACTCCAAGAAAAAACGACCTTTGTCCCACAATAAAAATCCGTCATTTATTTTTGGAGCACGATGAACCATAACATTTACCCCCTTCCCTTACAGAAATTTAATATTGATTTATTACCGAAAGACAGTAATTAATTAATTATTTGGAGTACTGAACAATAATGCTTTTAATACTTAAAATAAATAATTAATTACTGTCTTTCAGTCTTTTTTTATTGGTCAGTATTACATTTATTTAAAGATTCACGGAAAAATATCTCGTTCGAATGATAATCCAGTTCTGTTCTAAATATATTATAAAACGGCTGCGTTATATTCAACTTACGGATCACTGCCAGCAGTACAATTGTCAGGATCGTGGTACTCGCCATGGTTCTCGCCCTCGAAATTTCGATGGGGTGGCTAACAAAGGAAGGAACGGGCAGGCGTGATAGAGAAGTGATGGTTCCAGAGGGAGAAAGAGACACACAGCCCGGAACGACGCGGCTTTCCACGGCTCTCGATCCGGTCAACTCGGCAGCCTCGAAACGACTGACTTGACTGTCTCCACAGGAGCGAAGCAGAGCGGTCGACCGATCGTCGAAATTCAGGCGCACGTAATGGCACGTACCGTCGGTCATATTTCGCGGCGCCGCAACGCCGCGCCGGTACACACGTGCTTTTGCCGCCACATCTCCGGGACGGGGGGGGGCGGGGAGGGGGGGAGCCTTGTCTCGAAGCGCGAATCGCAAAACGCGGACGGGGAACGACGCGGATCGGCGACAGGGGAAAGAGGGCAGAACGCGGGCGGAAGGGTGACGCATGGATATTCGATTCGAGATGCAAGGGTTACGAAAGATCCGTTCTCGTTACGGCGGGTCTTATCGCAGCCTTGGTGTCGCGCGGGATTTCCGCGTGGGACGTACACGATAGATCGTCGCCGACGTCGTACTTGCACGATTGAAAGGGGGAAACGTGCTATTGCGGAAATATCGAGCCTGTAGATAGCTAGACCGCTTGTCACACAGAGGCTGTGAACGGAATATCTGCGTCCGAGGGTTGAAAACGCTCTCTGTATGTAACAGAAGAAAAACAGGATCCGGTTTTTTTTTTGCGGACACCCTTTCAATGTCCGTTGAACTGAAGATCCTCGACAGCGGTTGAACACCGTTTAGACAATTTTTGATTGGTCCGTTTAGTCCGCCATATTCAGGGCGGTGTTTAAAATGATAGAATGAGATAGGTGCGTGAGTTAGAATAAGATGCGTGGATATCTATCTTATTCTACCTTAAGAATTTGTCCGTTTGATCCGCCATATTCGAGACATTTCAAAATTTCTGAACGGTGCCCAGTATCTTACCTGAGGATCTCTTACGTCGTTGAACTATATGTTGAATGTAACGGCTTTATCCTATTCCACATAAATGGAATAGAAAATCATGCGACTAACGTAACATAAATATGCATGCTTGTATCGTATTCTGTAATAGAAAAGAAAGTAAAAATTTAAAAATCACCTGTACGATTGCAAATTTATATAGTCTTTCCTGTTGTATATAACGCACAAAGCATCCTGAAATACCTTTTAATGTGCAACATAGCGCAATTTAATTAAAATAAACCGTGTATGCGATGTATATATTTCATTTACGATTATTAAATAATTTAAATAATCACATTATCCTTATTATTGTTGTTATAATGCTGAAGCAACACTCCCAGACGTCGTGTATTTGAAAAATCACCTGTACGGGGTTGAAATCTTTTGTTATATATAATGTATAAAGCGCATATCCTGAAATACCTACTTTTTAAGATGTCATAACATGGCGTAATTAAAAGTCAATGGTATATATATCTATTTCATTTGCGATATATTAAATAATTTAAATAATCATGTTGTCCAATTGTTGCTGTTATAAGGCTGCTGCGACAGACAATATCCTTAGGCGTTAAGCTTCGTAAATGAAATTTGTGTGGGAACTTTGAAAATACGAGAAATCGATGAAACAATAAAAGCTTTAATCAATCGATAAGTATGACGTTTTATTAACAGCACATTCAATTAACCGACGCATTAAAGGCGTCACCCTTGCGCGACTTAATCGATTAAAACGGTTTTGATGGGGTTTCTGAAGGGACAGGATCAACATTTTGTGCGTCATAAGTACAATGAAACGTTCGCGTTGTTATCACGTATGTTGTTTTACGCCGTATAGCTCGCTGTGGCTACGCCTAACATGTGTTCGGGTACAGAATCCTTGAACGATTCATAAATGCAACGGGGGTCGTACTTGGCTCTCTGCGCTACATGGTGGGGTGAAACATCTGCCGAGGGTTCACAACCGAAGGGAATAAGGGCGTTTTCAGCATTGATCTGGTAAAACTTCAAAAATTCACCGAAATTTTCGGATCTCTGTTATATCTGGAGACACGTACACTGTCTCGGTTTTCTTTTACGCCACGTAACTTCTTTCATTAAATATACAAACGTAGAACAAAAGAAGAGTGTATATATATATATATATACAAAGTTATTGCCTCATCCTATATATATA